AAAGAGTGTATAAAGTATAAACAGTAATTAATAATGCACATTAATTTTAAATTTATATATTTACAACTATTACTTATTATTAATTTTTTATATGAATCATATATAGGTATCTTTTAGTTGAGGCAATATTATTTGAGGCGGATATGATCCCCATAGGTGATAAAACTTTCTTTGAGCATATAACATAGTTACATAGACATAATTAATATTTGATGCATTTAGTTATACTAAAACAATCTCATACTAGATCAATGTGTTTGTTAGTGTATTAGTATATAAAATATTTTGAAAATTTTAAGTTTTAGTTTATTGTCAATAAAAATGCTAAATAATATATAAAATATGTGGTTATTCAAAAAAAATTAATTTACAAAACTGTAAAAAATAAATTTAATTGGTGAAAAATTTCATTATATATATAATATTAATTATAAAATTTGAATATTAAATAAAACAATTTAAAAATAAAAAAACTTTGACTAGATATTAAAAAATCTTAATATATTCTGTTGAGTTCTGATTGATAGTCCCCAACAAATTAAAATCATATATTTAGGATGCAATGTAGTTATTTTCTTTTAAGCATTTAAGTACAATTAATTAGTTTTTATTAGATATAATTATTCTAATTATCGAAAAGAATAAATTGTCCTTTATATATCATTTTTAACTACATAATAAAATATAAAAAAAATATTTAAAAAGTGTTTAAAGTCTAGTTTATTGACAATGAAAATATTAATATATAAAAATATGCAGTTATTCAAAGTTTTCAATTTATAAATTTGTACAAATATTTTTAATTGATTAAAAAGATAATGATGATCTGAACATATGCATCTATATTTATTGCTAATTATAAAATTTTAAGAGGTAATTAAAAAAAATTAAAAATAAAATATCTTTGACATGATATTCACTTAAATAATAAAATATATTATTTTTCATTCTGATTGATAATATGCAGAAATATAAAATAATGTATTCAACAATCAATTATAAAAAATATTTAAGATAAAAGAAAGGTAAATTACAAGAAATAGCACGAACTAAAATAAGGCTAATACGGGATATAAATTTATGAACTTAATCCAATTAAGTGAAATAAATTACTTTAGTTAAATGAAGTTAGTAACTTATCAATAATTTAATGATCAAATGTTGCTAATTAGTAATTATAATATTTAATTTTCTAATTAACTGTTCTTACCGTCAAAATAAATAAGTTGTGTTTATGAATGCATATAAGGAAAAAATTATATATTCGCAAGTATTTACAAATACATGTATAAGAAAAATACAAATTTGGAAAGTGTAACAGTGTCAATTTTATAATTTTTGTTGTTAAATTAGCAGGTATTGTTGAGAGTTTTGGATTTGGAAAACCTTGAAAGTAAGTTAATTTGTGGAAGATTGAATCATAGATAAGTATAATCAACTTAAGAATAACATATTTAAAAATAACAGATTGAGACAATTATACACTATTAACTAAATTTAAATGTAATGTTTTCACTAATAAAGATACAAGTAAGTAGATTTTAAATTCTTAACAAAATTTGAGTATAAAGACTAAAACAAGATTTTTTGTTGTTGAAATTATAGGGACTAAAAATGTCAATTTTAAATTTGAAAGACTAACAACATATTCAAACCTATATTTTAATAAATCAAACATCAATTTTGATCGTATATGTTTAAATTAAAAGTAATGTGAAAATTTAACTTTTATGCAATTAAGATAATCAAGTATAATTTTTTATAAAAAGAAAAGATAATTAAGTATAAATAATTTTTTAACTCGTCATAATTAGCACTAAATAAGTAATTGAATGACCATTAATGAATATCTTTAATTTGAATTTGGAAGTGACGATTTAGAAAAATAATTATGTATACCACTACCACACTATAAAACATTCACCTACTAAACACTTGGATTAACTAACATTGTAAGTATTTTAATTTAACTATAGATATATTGAGTTATAGTTATAAATATGTAATTGCATTATATTCTTGATCCATAATCATTTTATGCAACTTAAGTAACATTACTTCTTGTAAAGAACACTTGTGATATCTAAAAAGAGAAGGAAAATAAAAAAGGTATTTTAAGTATAGCGAAGTTTTGCAAGTTTTTCAACTAGTTTTGAAAGAAAAAAAATTGGATATAAAATTATTTATTTAGTTTATTCAAATTGATTAAGTTGCGTATGTATATGACAAAAGAAAACATTCATGCCTGAGGAAATTTTCCAAGTTTTTAACCCTGTTTTTAAAAAAACTATTTTTGTTTTCTTGGTTTTATATTTGAAATCCAAAAATTTTCAACAAGTTCATTTGTCTTGATAAGAAAAATAGGGGAGTTGCAACATTGAATCTTAAAAAGGAGAGAATTTACTCCTCAAGATCTCTCTAAATGATGGTTTATCATTATTCTATAAGCAATTTGCCAATTTCACACTTAAAAATGCACACCTTTTGAAACGTGTGTTAAAGAAGTCCATAAATTAAAGTTTCCTCCACCTTACGCAGCCAACTACTTTCCTAGTTATTGAAAAGGGGTGAGTGAATAGTTCCTAAAGAAGTTTCTCAATTTGCATGGTTAGATCTGCCGACAAATAATTGACTTCAATTTAGCTTGTGTGTCAAGTGTTAATTTTGCTTTTGCCAGATACGGCATAAATATTTGGAGGCACCCATCAAATTGTAGGGTGATTATTATATTCCGTTCGCATGACACGTTACAACAGAAGGGTGGTTGATCCAATCATTGTCTCGTGAGTGGTGACTGATCTCATAATTGAATTTCTTTCAATACGAGGCTTCGACCAATAGCTTGCACCTGAGAATGAAGGGTCAAGAGGAGAGAACGTACACAGAATAAACCAACAACAATAGTCACATTCATGTTCCCATCCAACACATGAGATAAGATAACGACGACCCTTACCACATGGTATTAAGGGTAGTGCTTGATGATAAGGCTACAAACTCCAGTGCCCTCCCACACCAATCAATTGATCCTGAAATGTCCTAAACTTTGGCATGTGAATTAGAAAACATTTGCTAAAAAACAGAATCCGATGTAAGGCAATGATCCTTTGAATTTGCTGACTAGGAACCGGGAGAGCACACGATATTGGATTGGACTTTGAGAAACATGTTAAATAACTGATTTTGCACCTTCCATTGATGTCAAAACATGATTGTGTCAAATTGTCAATTACATGAAAAATAATGTATAGCTTGCTGTCAGAATATGCAATCAATTGTTAGATGTTCGATATTCATCATAGACCAGCCAAATAAGAAGTGCATTAAACACTGAAAAATTTCGTACACACCCTCTGAATTTCTTAAGTTACATAGCTTGCTTGTAGTGTGAATAAGAGATGCATATATTAACTAGTTTTGAAGTTGAAGAAAATTAGCTTCAATGCTTTCATTAGGATCAATGATCCAACAACTGGCGCCAGGTGCAGTTCATCAGTTTCATTGCCTACGAGCCCTGGTTTCTCAACTGGATTTGGATCAATGTCATTGTTTTCAAATGTTCCTCAAGTTATACAACCATGCCTTGTTGCTTTGGCTCTTCTTAATATCTGTTTCATTCACTGGATTCTACCTAAACAAAAAAGGTATTTCTGAGAAACAAGATTCATAATAACTAGCATGCTCATTATGTTATTGATGGATAAAAAAGAACGACGAATTCGGCGGTCAAAATTAACTGATTTGGGCAAAAGAAATGACATTTTCCTCCGATGAATACCTTGGGACTAGTGTATAGAAATCACATAATTTGACTCATACAACAAAATTTGTGAAATAAACCAACAATCTTGTATTTGACTCATTCCAACAACCAACAAATTTCATTACTATTCTGCCGTCAACAATATTAAAAAATAAAAAATAAAAAATAAAAAATAAAAAATAAAAATCAGAAGTACACTTTAAACTTTAGTTTTGTGTATAATAAAATCCTAACAACATGGTGTGTCTAAGATAAGATTGTTTAAGATAAAGAATAATGTCCCGAAGCCAAGTTTCCCCTGCACGTCTAATACAAGGGTGATGTTGTCTGACTCCAGAAGCACTTCCTGGATTTGACAGGCCTATAGATTCCTTTACTGCTGCCTAGAGCTACATATTCTTCGTCACAGTATTCTCATTATGCCCTTTCAAGCGCAAACGTGCCTTGAGAACAAAATCCACCGCTGCTTTTACCAAATTGACCACCGAATAGTAGCATACAGGGCTAGCTAGAGGCAGAACAATAGCACAAGTATTGTTGGTCATTGATGAACGAAGTACCAAATAATCTTCTGAAACATTATAACAGAGAAGAGTATCTTACAATACTAGTAGTACCACCGTTTGGACATACTTCCCGATATTTTACTCAACTACTTAATCTGGTCGTGCTAATTAAGTTTGGGAGGGATTGATATCAGAAATGGGGAAGAAGTTTTATTACCCTTTAGCCAACATGTGACCGATTTTCATGAAATTATTACCAAGTTACAAGATTTGGCAAATATATAATATTTACGTACAAAGTGAAATAGAGAAGCTTACAGAAGATGGTCTAGAATCCTTGATCAGCGAGATTAGCATTGAAAAAGAAATAGCAGATTAAAAGAAGAAAAGTGAAATTCCATTCCTAGCTAAAGGAAAACATAAAGGCATGAAGGCTTAAGAACTAGTGTGGTTGTACATTTGTGGTATCCCGAACAGTTTGTAAGGGAATCGGAATTTGGTTGTTGAGATTCCAGATATCATCATCCCAAACAACATCATTGTACAAGGCAGTGAAAGCTTCACCTCCCAAATAGTCGATGTCCCAACCAGGGGACCAAGTGGATCCCCATGACATTTGCTCATCCACAACACCACCCAACCAAGGCATATTCTGGTTATTCTCCTCCCAATTCCAACCCATGATGCCACCCTCCCTTGCTCCTTGCTGAAAAAACCCACCCACCATGTCTCTAGCTTCTTTCCTCTCTTCCTCCTCCACCTTCTGCTCACCCTCTTTCTTTGGTTTCTTCTTCCCATCTTCAACATTGGGAGGAGGAGGAGGATTTATGGGCCTAACACCATTCACACTCACACCCCTCTGCCTCTTCATCTTGGATCTGAACAAATGGAGTAATGAAATTAATGGAATTTATAGAGTGTGGACAATTTGGTGACCAAGTTGGGGGTGGTTTGATCTGTGACGTGATGTAAGCAGTCCTTATGGATTTTTTGAGAGTCATATATGATGCATATCCAAGTGGTTTAGCGGCACGCCCTTTTCTCTAATTTGGAACATAACGACAAAAAATCCCACCTTTTAGACAACGTAGGGGTCAAGTACCAAGTGCGGAGTGCCGTAAGGAAGTTAGAACCAAGTCAAACTCTTCATCTGGCCCACCTATTGTTAGTGTAGGCCTAGTGCAAGTGCAATGAATTTTTCGGTGAAAATGAGGTGCCTATTTCTTTATAATTAACCAAAGGTTCTCCCTTCTTTTTTGTGTGTTAGATTAGAAGAATCATGCATCCACATGACGCTGCCTCAAAGCTTGCGGTTAGCTGTTGCAACTTGCTTCATTCTTTTTAACCTTTTTTTTCTAAAGATACTTTAATTTCTTTGTAAAAACTTGCAAGAAATCAATTGAGTGCTGTCAATTCTTTTCTTGGGAAGGTAAATTTAGTAGAACGGAAGTTCCGAGATTCAAGAAATGCTCGTATTCTTTTTTTATTAAAATAAAAATGTGAAATAAGCGTTGGATATTGCATGTAAAAAGTAAAAAGTAAGAAAGTGAGAGTGTGCATGTTGGGCAAGCGGCAGGATGAGTGAGTGAAGAAGATAGGTGCCAAGGAATTGGAAGAACAAGTAGAAAGCATGCCTAATCCCACGCATCGGTTGTATTTGCATGCATGCTCATTGCTCATCTCTTCTGTCGGCATAAAGTCCAAATTTTATTGTGGCCCACTTTCTAAACAAGTCTCATGTGTCATAAAGTGGGTGCCATGCCATCTAATCCCTCTTCCTCTCACCTTTTTTTTTATGGTTAATATCCCACTACTCTTTCTTCATTATCTTCTCATCTCACTGGGTCAACCATGCTCACATTACATTTTCATACTTGACCAGACTTCAATCAGCCCTACACCCCAAGGGATTTTCAACAAAATATATATGTTACTTTCTCTAGTTACATAAAGACTCAGAAAAATACATCTATCTTTTAAGAGCCTGATTAAAGAATAAAAAGAAAAAAATATACATGCGTGCACGTGTGGATGCCTACTATATATGATATTATACATAGTCGAGTAGAAACTAAATTATTTTATGAATAAAATTATATTATTGTGAATAATTTTATAATACTTTAATTCGGTCCAATCATTGTTAGTTCTATTAAAATGAATTCAACTGAAGAATAAAGAGCTCCAATTAAACACTGCAGTTGTAAGCGAACCATACTCATCTTCTCGTAAAATAAATTATAGTTCTAAAATAATTTTAAATATACCGTGCAACTAATAGAGAAATAGCTACATTCCCTTAATAAAAAAAACAAAGAAATAACTGCTATGCATTGAATATTCACACACATGACATTTCTCCATATTACTACCATATTATACACTTTGAGTTTAAATTTTCATAAATTTATATATTTTTAATCATCTTCAGAAAAAAAAATCTCATTTCAATAAAGTATATGTATATCTTATAAATTCTTATATATATATATATATATATGTTGAGATGTATATAAAGTAATTTTTGGAGAAGGATCGCCGAGACACTTATGTACAGAGTAGCTTGTATTAATATACAGCTGGATGGTTGAAGCAAGTAGTCCATGGATTATGGAGATTGTTTGCTACACTCAATGCTTTGTCTCTCACTTGATTCTTTTGCTCTTCATTGAAAGCGATTCTAAATAAGATTTTCACATGATGTGTGCCTCCTCTGCTCTCTCACTCTCTTCTCCTTTCATCCTTAATGCAACAAGAACAACCCACATCTTTTCTTTGTCACTTTCATCGATTCAACTTTTCGCTCCATATAATTCAATAATTTATATTTTGCGCTTGTTCACTTTCAGGAGGTGTTTATCTCTAATCGTGCTAACAAAAAGCTAAATATTTTAATTATTTGAAAAATAAAATATTAAATAACTTTTTATTTAATTAACTTCCCCCCCCCCCAAT